CATCGGCCAGACAGGACGGTCCCTACGTGGGAGAATCAGTGGACACGGGTCTGATAGTAGGAGTGGCAACGTGCAAGGACCTGTGGGGGAGCACTTCGGTCTTCCTGGACACACAATTGCAGATCTGGGGGTGGCCATCCTGCAGCGGAGAGGCTTCAGGACCAGACTTCGAGGGGAAACTGCTGGGCTGTGAATGGCTTGCTAGCTACAGGGGCAGCTTCTGCTCTCTTGGAGTTCGCACTTCCGGGTCGGCTGCTGGGGGTGGGCCTCGTCCTCCTTGATTGGATCCACCTCGTCGTCCCCAGCCTGATCCTGGCCTGCATATTTATTCCTGCCTCTGGAGGTTTCCACTGTATGCATCTGGCGAAGTGGGTCTTTGCCCACGAAAGCTTATGCTCCTACACTTCAGTTAGTCTATAAGGTGCCACAGGACTCCTCGTCGCTTTTGCTGTTTTAAAGAAATCTTTAAAAACAATAGGGAAGTAGGAGTCTCTTGTCTTTGGCTGGCACACCCAAGGGAAGGAGCCAAAGTCCCAGGGTGAGAAACAGCCCTCGTTTTGGAAGACTTGGCCAGGAAAGGGACAGTTTTAGGGTGAGTTGTAAGTTTGTACTGGAGTTTTAGTGTAGAAGTATCTAAGCGTTTTCTGTTATTTTGAATTTGTAATTACTTCTGCTTGTTCTCACCTATTACCACTTAAATCCTACTGCTTGTACTATTAAAATCACTTTTATTTCCTATCAAATCCAGTGTCAATAATTACCACCTACGGGAGCAATCAGTGTGTACATTCCCCCTTTCATTGTTAACGGGGGTTTACCTAAATTATTCATTGTGGGTTTTGATCTAATTTGGGGAGTGGTATCCCTGGAAGCTGGGCCCAAAACTGCATTTTCTTTGCACCTGAAGAGATTCAGTGTCGGCATTGCTCTTCGGGGGCGGGGAGAGGGGCATGATTCTCAGCTCTGTGCCTTGGCTGGGGGAAACCAGGGAGCTAGCCTAGCAGGACAGGGCAGTGAGAAGCCTCAAAGAGCAAAAAGGGGGGTGGCAGTGGCCATATCAGCACTCTGGGAAGCCCCCATGGGGGGTCTTTTGTGACCTCACCCCATCACAGTGCTCTCACACCGGATCAAATTAATTTCAGGCACAAACATGCAGGAATTCCATTGATTTTTAAATGGAGTTATTTCCATATGTGCCCAGGAGATTGTGGTTCTCTGGCCATAAGGAAATTTGTCGAACATTGTGGTGGTCAGAAGGAGAGACACAAAATTCACTCTTCTCTGATGTATTGGCCCATTAACTGACCTAAAACCATCTCCTACCCAATGTACTCTTGCAATAGCTATACATATTGTGTGTGTCTGTATCAAGTCCAACAGCACCTGCTGTAATCCGTTTCAAAACTACCTACAGATTTATTTAGCTCAGCACTAAAATACTCAATAATATAAATACAATGTTAGATTCATTTTATTTCCTTTCTAAAAGCCAGAAATTAGTAAAAGTACATACTTATAACTTAAGTAATTATTGTACACCTATTTAAGAAAACTAGTTATATGTTCCCTAGAGTTAAAAACAAACTTAACTTCTGTTTAATATAAGAAATTACTCATAATTGCCAGTCTTTAGGAAAGACTTTTATTAAAGACCCCCTAAATTAATTTTATTTCCTGTACATTTAAATTCTAATTATATATAGTGTGTCTGTCTGCAAGTCTGTTCAAAAATTCTTCCTAAATGGTAAGAATTAAGGCCATCAAATTTGGCATGCAGCTTCCTCTTCTAACTTAGTGCAAGGTCAGGGTTTGGTTGTGGCAGGAGAACCAGAAGCCTTGGGAAAAGGATTGTTTTCCATAATGGGCAAAAGGAGGTGCTGCTGTTCGGAGGTTGCAATATGAGTGGCCACTGGGAGCAGTGAGCTCACAGGGGAGAGCTATTTTGCAGTGTGTCCTCTAGGGGCAGCCGCATAACCAAGGGAGTGGCCAGCAGGACTGGGGCTCTGCCATCTTGCCTGATAGCATGTTAAGTAGCCCCACTGCCTCAAACCCTTTCCCTTCCTCCCGGTCTTTGGCCACAGTGGCGGGGGGAAGGAGAGAAAGCAGGCCTCTGGGGTGGACACAGTAGGCCCCTGTCCACTAGCCTCCTGTACACCTAATGTGATAGCTGAAGACAGTTGCAATTCTTGCATGTAGAAAATGTCCCATAAACGAAACTTCAGTCACAGAATCATAGAGTTGAAAGAAATCTCAGGAGTTGAAAGAAATCTCGAATCCAACCCCCTGCTAAAAGCTGGACCAATCCCAACTAAATTATCCTAGCCAGGGCTTTGTCCAGCCAGACTTAAAAACATCTAGGGATGGAGATTCCACCACCTCCCTAGTAACTCATTCCAGTGCTTCACTAACCCTCCTAGTAGTTTTTCTTAATATCCAACCTAAACCTCTCCCACTGCAACTTGAGACCATTGCTCCTCATTCTGTCATCTGTCACCACTGAAAACAGCCGCTCTCTATCCTCTTTGGAAACCCTTTCTCTGCTGTTGACAAAATGAGCTCAAATCCCTCAGCCTCTCCTCATAAGTCGTGTTCTCCGGCCCCCTAATCGTTGTTTGTTGCTCTCTGCCGGACTTTCTCCAATGCATCCACATCCTATCTGTAATGAGGGGAGGGGCCCAGAATTGGATACAGTACTCCACATGTGGCCTCGCCAGTACCAAGGGCCAGAGCGGGAGGGATTTGGTTCAGGGGGACTACTTACCTGGTCTGATGGCAGAGCCCCCATGCCTACTGGCCATTCTCTTGGTGGTGCAACTGTCCCCAGTGGTCAATCTGCATATAGCTCTCCCTTGCACTCGCAGCCCTGAGTGGCCACTCTTAAGTATCACATCCCTTCTCGCTGAGCCCCTCCATGTTATAGAAAACAGTCCCATTCCTGGCACTTACTATTTTCTTGGAACAATCAAACCCTGACCTTGCTTTAAGTTAATTAAAAGAAAGCTTTTAAATGTGGTGGTCCTAGCTGTTACCATTCTTGAATATGAGTGGACTCAGACGCATGAGTGTTAACATTCTTGAAGTGGACTCAGACGCATAACACATTACAATATATGCAGGGAAAAAATGCACTTAAAATTTGTAAATATAAATATAGATGCTTCAGCGTCGGTGAAATCTTCAAAATTCAGAACTCGGGCATTTTTGTTTAAATCTTTCAAGGTGCTGAAATGCAGTGAAGTCAGTTGCTGTCTTAGCACTGACACAAATGATGCTACTAAAGCAGGCATCACAACACTCTTTTTGTGTGTGTGTGTGTGTGTGTGTGTGTGTGTGTGTACACACTCACATGCGTACACACTTCAGATTCCTAACCATAGTTTCTGAATTGCTTGAATACTAAATCACATCTTGGACTAAGCTAGTTTTTCTTACCATTTACTCAATGCTTTTTTTTACCTGTCATTGGTCTGTTCCTATTAAAATCTCTTTTCAAATTTCAGGTCACGCCAGTTGTCCCACTTTCCAATGATTCTTGGTCTATGTCATTTGCAAAATATCTTGAATTGCGATTCTATGGGTATCCGTACACACGAAGAGCCAATGCAGAGCCTTGTGGTCATTCTATACACCATGACTATCATCAGTATTTTTCCTATAATCAGATGGTGGCATCTTTCAGGTAAGCTTTCACTTCCAGGTTCCACCCAGTTTAGATTGCATGACCACATAACATGTTTGGGTCAAGCTGGAATGAGCAACCATAATCTTTCTGGCTGCCAGATTAATAAAGTGAATCTTGAGATGTCAAAAAGGAAAAAGGATAAACTATACTGGGGTGGCCAGCCAATTAGAAACTAAGAGCCAAAATAGCTGTGGATAGAGTGCAAAGAGCCACATATTATATATTTCTATCTAATGTATCTATCTATCTAACACAAAATGTAGTGATAAAAATAACATTACAGTACATTTTGGACAAAAACCAATAAAAACAGTCTCTAGTCACTTAAATTCACGGCTAGTCCATAGATCTTCAGAGGATTTGTCAAGGAACAAACATCAAATTAAAAAAACCTTTTGAAAATATAGTAATATTCTCACACTAAAAATAAGAATCCCCACCGTATATTTTAAATTTTAACACTACTGTCTATTATGTCCTGTGAGTTTTTTAAAATTAAACTGAACTGAGAAGTAAATTAGCACAATTTGAAGTGCTTGTTTCACTCCAGCTTGTTGATCTCTGGCATGGTTTCCTTTCTTTTAAGATTATGGCTTTTTTATAGTTCTAAAAATTCAGATCTGTCCCAGACTGCAAATATGAGAGGTTCAAAAACAACACGGGACAGACTCATCTCAGAATAATTGCTTCAGCCTGGCAAACAATAGACCCTTTGAATTTTCTTTAAAGAAGCAGTGTAAACCAGGTACATGCTGATTCTTTTTTTTACCCTGGAATTTAAATGACATCTGTGTCTGCTGCCATATTCTGTATCCATGAAGACTTTGAGTGTAAGGTGCTTCAGCCGCCCCTTCTCCCCCAACCCAATGCCCTCCCCCTGAGCCAGACACCCCCTCCCTCCCTACTTTAACCCAATACCCCTCCCTTCCCCCAGTACCAGGCACCCTCAGCCCTGCCCCTCTGCTCTAACCCAATACGTGGGTCTCACTGGAGCTGCTGCTGCCGCAACCACACACCTCTCCCTCCAGGTGCTGGGGTGTGTGCACAAAGCAGCTGGCCATGAGCTGTTTGGGCATGTGGCTACAAACTAGCAAGAGCCACATTTCTTTGAACAAAGAGCTGCATACTGCTTGAGAGCCGTGGGTTGGCCACCCCAATCTATACTATAGTTTGTACGTCTGTTAGAAGTACAGCATGTCTGGCACTATCCAGTTACACAGTTCTGTGCAATGCTGGAGCATGGGGGCTGGCAGTCTCTAGGAATAAGGGGCTCAACATGATGGAACCACAGACCATAGGCAGGCTGCATAAGGTGAAAGAAATGACCACTCTTGTGTCACCAAGTTACACCTGCTGGTTTATAGCATGGTTCATGTGCTCATTTTTACATAGCTGCTGAAGCAGCACACACATGATAGTATCCTGGAAGGCTGAGGTATATCCGGCTTTGCCATGTATTTCCAGGGCTCTTTCTGATACTCTGTGCAGCAGTTGAAAGAATCTAACAGCAGAAGGGTGGGAAAGATGCGGTGGTGCAGGGTTTCATTTTCACCATTGTGTTTTATTGCTTTTTAGTTATTCTCCAATCCGACTGCTAGAGGTGTGTGTTCCTCTCCCCAAAATCTACATCAAACGTCAAGCTCCATTAAAAGTTACTATTCTGCAGGATCTGAAGGATTTCTCTCAAAAGTAAGCTTTGTTTTGTTTTTCTTCACCTACTCACTCTTCTTATTTATGACTTAAGTTTTAAAGAACATGGAGCCATCATTGCTGCAGTAACTAAAGAAAGCATTTGCTAACTATATTTTAAGTTAAATGTAAGAGCTTGTAGCAGACTAGTTAATTGAAATTCCTAAGAGGGACAAAATAAGGTTCCTATATTAATCTTAATTCTGACCCTCTCCACTTAATGTAGTGAGTATATCTCCACAGCAGCTGGGAGGTGCAATTGTCAGTGTGAATAGACACACTATGGTCATGCTAGCACATTAGAAATAGCAGAATGCACAAGGTGGCCTGGATAATGATTCAGGCTACCTGCCAAAGTATCATCTGGATGACCCTTGTGTACGTACTAGGGCAGGGATTCCATGCCACTGTCCAGGCCGCTGATCCCCCAAGCTATCATTACTTTGCTCACTCAAGCAGAGCTTGTACATCACATCTATCTAAACGGGGAATCTTACCTTTTAACTGCATTATAGTTACTCTGAGGACTCTTTCTTCTCCCCTTCCCCCATAGGTTTGGCATAATTATACTTTTTAATGTTCCTGGCTAGTCTTTTTTATTATTTATTTAAATTTCCTGACTTCTCTATAGATATCCCAACGTGTTCTTATAGAACTTTCCTAAGTAATCATTAAAATTGTCATTCATTGTCAGAATTCATGATCCTGACCCTGGAAGCATGCGGTTATAATGAAAATCCTCAACCTATAAACAATATTGCTGCCTCTCTGTAATACCCAAAAAATGAGTGAGAGATCCTGTCTGTGAAGCTTAATTTGGAAAGCTTAATTTGGAAACCTTTTTTTGTATCCAGGTTCTCTGGTGCATCTGAATTGTCCGGTCTTCTGACACTTTCAACTTCTGATTTCAATTTATAAAATGTTAAAAGGAAAATATTTAAATTGCTTCCTGAGCAAAACCAATTGTATTGAATTTGGTTTGATTTCAGATACAGGCAGTCCCCGAGTTACGCGGATCCGACTTATGTCGGATCCGCAGTTATGAACAGGGCCCTTCCTCTCCCTGGTCTCCAGCAGACCAGGGAGAGGAAGCAAAGCGGCGGAACACGCGGGCAGCGGACAGGGCTGTCTGCTGCCCACGCGCTCCGCGGCTTGGCTCTGCTTTGCCCCTCCCCCCGTCCCCCTGCAGACCAGGGGGACGGGGAGCAAAGCAGAGCAAAGCTGCGGAGCACGCGGCCCGAGGGGAGGCCCGACCTCGCTGGGGCTGCCCCCGGC